ATTAATTAAAAATAAAATTTTAAACCTATCTTTTAAAAACATTTAAAAATAACAACCTACAAGAGCATTTTTTTAAAATTTTATATAAGTTTATTAATTTTAGTCTTGCTTTTTTATTTCTTCGTACTTACTACCGAAAAAATAAAAGCTTTTTCAGGTGGCAATAATTTGACAAACTTCTAGGTGGCTGGCTCTGTGGAAGCCGCAAGAGGGTGTCTGGGATCTCCGACGGCGAGGAGTGTTAAGGCGGATGGAGAACTGCCAGTGATGAGGAACCCGATAAAGATCGGGAAACCAGACTCAGAAATTAAGATCCCAGCAGCAGGGGTAAGTAAGGGTGCACGAGCTTAGGGGTACCAAGAGATTAATTATGGTTCTGATGCACATGTCATGTGAAAATCAGAGAGCAAAGAAATATGGAGGATTTTAATTTTTAGGACGTCCTTAAATTAATTACTCTTGTCTTCAGGAAGAATGTCAAGATATGTTTGGTGGACATTACGGTGCTTAACTTAAAATGAATAGAACCCGACACTTTGATTTTTTTTTTCTTTGTTTTTTAAAAGGCATTTTAAGTAAAAATAAAATAAGATATTGTATTTAAACCAAAAAAACACTTTAAAGTAATGAATTAAAACTCTATTTAATTAGTAAGACTGTAGTTTTAGTTTTTTATTTTAATTTTTACAAATTTTATAACTTTGAACAAAAAAATTTATCGTTTACTTTCATATAATTTCACAATATATTATCATAATTATTAAATAAATAATAAAAAATAATTTTAATACTATTAACTTAATTAATTTTTTCTCTTATCAATAAAAACTAGTCTTAAATAATCATTAGTTTTTCAATTTTAATTTTAATTTTCAATAATTACAAAATTTATAAAAATCAAAACTAAAAATCAAATTTCATAATATACTAAACGAAAACTAAGGTTGCATTTGAGAATACTTATTAGTATTTAAATGTTTAGTTTTTAACTGACAATCTATTAGTTTGAGGGAAAAGAGTTTGTATCTTTTAAATAAAATTTTAAATTTAAATATTATGAATAAAAAAATAAATACTGAAAAAATTAATGGATCGGATTTGACATTATTTAATTTAGAATTAATTAAAATTTAATGTGATTTCTTAATATTAAAAAATTAATAATTTTTTTAATTTTTATATAGTTTTATTATTTTAACAATATATAAGATATTAATTAAAATAATTATTTAATATATTTTATATATTTTAAGATATTAAAAAACTAAAAATACCTTACGAGTTCAGTTATAGACTAGCATTTTGAACCTAAGCCTAGTCTCCACCTTTTTTCCGTTAACTGTATGAATGCTCCGATGGTAAATACTACTTAGTAATTATATTTTTTAATTACCAAAAAAAAATATTTTTTGGGTTTAGTGTCTTCCAACAAAATTTAAATACTAGTAGCTAAAAAGTAATTAACAAATTTGAACGGCAGGGATTTGTGCACGCAAGTTCGGTTTGCAGCAGCCTGCAAGGAATCATTAAAGTGAGTGCTGATGAGCATCATATGGGGGTTCAGAATTGCACAGACACACAGCGCCCTTCGACTTGTCAACAGTCGGATCGGAGAGCTAACTGTAATCACCCTCACACAGTACCATAACTCTTCTCTTCTCTTCCATTCCTTGCAACTGCATTTCCAATTTAATTTAATTCTTTTATAAATTGGTCCTTATTTTTCTGCCTAATTTTCTAATTTCTTTCTTTTTTTAAAAAAACATACAATGCATGCATTGCTTCATTTTGAAACTCAAATTTCAACCTTTTGCGAAAAAAGAATTTTTCTCTTTCTCTCTTTTATCACTTTTTACTTGAGTGTCATTCTACCTCAAATATGGCACAAATCATCATTTTCTTCTGAAGGTGATGTTGCAAATTTAGGCAGTGGCACCAAAAGAATTAAATGGGGTTGGTGCCATATAACAGACATCCGTACGCATATATGACTTTCTTCCTGTACTCATTGTGTACATTTTTACAAACAAAAGATTGGATTCCACTCATCACGAGATAAATGTGTGAATCATGTTTTCAGACGGGGGCAGAGAAGAAAATTCAATTGAGGGTGAGTATTATTGTTGAAACTTTAAGTCTTAAGGTATTTTTTAAAATATTAATTTATTTTTTAAAATTTTTTAATAAAAAAATTTACTTGTAATCTTTTTTATTGATATATTTTTGAAAAATATATCAATGTATTTATTAAAATAAAAAACAAAATATTGCAAATATAAATCATGCAATGATCAATTGAAGAATAAATAAAAACAAAAAGAGAATCATGTTTGTTAGTCAAATCTTTAAAAAATTATGACGGAAAACACTAAAAAATTATATTATTTCAATAAATTTACATTAAAAAAGATAAAAACAATATATTTTTAAAGTAAGAATGAAAGTATTTTAGTTTTATTAAAATAA